CTCTTTATCTTTAATGTTTATAATTTTAATTATGATATGTCTTGGTGTGGGTCTCTTTGAGATGATTTTGATTGGGTCTCTGTGCTTCCTGAACTTGTGTAACTTTTTCCTTTACGACATTAGGGAAGTTTTCTGTCATTATTTCTTTAAACAGGTTCTCGATTCCTTGCTCATTTATTCTTCTTCTAGTGCCCCTATGATACAGATGCTATTAGGTTTCATGTTATCCCAAAGTTCCCTTAAACTATGTTCCTGCTTTTAAATTTTTTTTCTTTGCTGATCTAATTGGGTGTTTTTTCTACCTTGTCCTCAAAGTCAGCTTCATTTAATATACCAGTACTTTTAATTCCTTCCAATGGATTCTTGATATCAGATATAGTATTCTTCATTTCTGAATGGTTACTGTTCATGGTTTCTATTTCCTTTTTTCATGCCATTGTAGTTTCCACGAGGTTCCTTGTAATTCTCACTAAGTTCCTTGAGCATCCTTATAACCATTACTTTGAACTATCTATACTAATAAAAGCCTAAGTGGCCCTCGTGAAACACCCTCACGTCAACACAAGATGGCTGCCCCCACATCATCACAAGATGGCCATCACAAGATGGACACCCCCACATTGTCACAAGATGGCCTGCAGGGGAGGGCAGTTGGGGGCAATCGAGCGGGCAGGGGAGCAGTTAGGTGTCAATCAGTCCAGCAGGGGAGCATTTAGGGGGCAGCCAGGCAGGCAGGCAGACGAGTGGTTAGGAGCCAGCAGTCCCGGATTGTGAGAGGGATGTCAGATTGCCTGCTGTGATCAGGCCTAAACCAGCAGTTGGTCATCCCCTGAGATCCCCTCCCTGCATGAATTTCATGCACCAGGCCTCTAGTATATCTTATAAATTGCTTGCCTCCACTTCATTTAGCTCTTTTTCTAGAGATTCCTCCTTTTCTTTCATTTGGAGGCTGTTTCTTGGTCTCCCCATTTTAGCTGTCTCTTTGTGTTTGTTTCCATGTAGTAGGTAGAACTGCTATGCCTCCATATCTTCATATGGTGACCTTATGTAGTTAAGTGTCCCGTGGGACTCAGTGGCACAGTATCCTTTATCTTCTGAGCTGAATGCTCTAAGAATGTCCCTTGTGTGGGTTGTAATTGATTGCTGTTGGCCTGTTCATGTGTGTGGGTCAGCCCATGGGCTGGCTGACTGTGAGGCTCAACTCCAAGTACCAGTATGTCATGCAAGTTATTGTACAGGTACAATCTCAATGTGGCTTCTGCAGTCCTTGGTTAAGTTTCCTCTTCAGATAGTCTCCAGTTAGTATTTCAGGGTGACTGTTCCCCAATTTAGCTGTAATTTCCAGTTTGGTTCTGGGAGGCATTGTGAGCAAGATCCACCTACTCTGCCACCATCCTGAACCAGCCCAAATATATATTTCTTATCTGAAGAGGGACCTACAGCTTTCCTCCTCAAATGCACAAAGGTCAGCCTCCCTGTCCACTACTCTCTGACTGCCACCTTTCGATCCACTCATTTCCCCTTTAAATATTTTTTAAAGGGAAGAAACTGCACCACCCACACACACACTCCTCTGGTTCCTCTCTGCTCTGTTCAGTAAGGCCTCATCTCCCCTCACAAAGTGAAAGTTACAAACCATTAAGAAAATCTATAATGAAAGTGCTGACAGAATCTTAATTAACTATGGCATCACAAACACAATAATAGCGTTAAACTCTCAAGGCAGAGACACTAACTTGAGTTTCACAGTCATATGATAAATAAAAGTAAGGTCCACACAGAGAAGAGACTGAAAACAGGGGTGGGGCAGCCCTGGAGCCCCAGAAACATGCTACCCCACCTCTGAGCTGGCCCTGGCACAGCAGGATCAACTGGGCAGTGGCCACCCTCCTAGCACGTGGACAGTGCTGCCCTCCTAGCATCCATCTGGCAGCAGCACTGGCCTAGTCAGAAGCGGCATGTCATTTTTCTGTCTCTCTTTAAAACAGTTGCCTGTTCTTCCTAGATAACTTTAATTGGCCTGCAGCGTGGTCCAGCATCTGGGGAGCGAGGCTGCTCTGCAGCTAGTCCCGAGAGAATGGAAACAGGTCGATAAGGTCCTGGAGCTCCTGTCAACGCTCCAGAGTCCCACTGCAGGAGCCATTAGCGCCTCTGATCTCAACCTCCAATTAGAGCATCATTAGGCTCAGCAGCGCTTGGCCATGAATTATTCATCCTCCTTCAGATAACCGCATGGGACACGGGGAATGAATGATTAGATCCGACCCAGAGCTTAACACACAGCAAACATCCACCCCACGAAGTGTGTCCCTCCTTTGAGGCTGACCATGCCCTTCCATGCCCCCAACAGGTTTTGAGAACCTTTAAATAAATCCTGGTGGTCATTCAAGCAACTGTAGGAGCACTATTAAGAGGCTGTGCCGGAGCAGAAAGAAAGGAACTTTCAGAAACAAACCCCCACTGGGAGGCATGGGAAAGCCAGGAGAGGTAGCACGGCTAAGTCCCAAGTGTGAAAGGGACACAGGCTGGGGCTCCAACACAAGTTCATAGCCTCCAGCTGTAACGTGCCCCAGCCCAGGAGACACAGTGCACAGAAAAGACTGAAAAGGGCTTCAAAAAAACTTTTCAATCTGATTTCTCCAGAAATGAAGCTCAGAGATGACATTTTAGGGATCATATACCACTCTTGAATTTAAGGTTGAAGATTACTTTACAGGCTCAGAGATGACATTTTAGGGATTTTCATATAGCACTCTTGAATTTAAGGTTGAAGATTACTTTACTTTTTTTCCAAACCAAGGAACCGGCACTACACTTGACTGTTAGAGGTTTGCTTTACAGACGAGAAAACAATCACAGATATTTGATTCCAATGTAGAGAAGAGAGACTACAGCCAGTCCACATTCTGATGTTTCACACATTGTCTTTGAGGCATGTAAGAGCTGTAGCCATAATTTAAGATTCAGAAATTCCTGGCTAATAAACCTTGGGTTTCAGAGTCTTTGGGTTCTATCTTCTCAGAGGGAACTGAAGGCCAAGTCAGTGGGGGACCCCTTGTTCCAGGGGGTCCAGGGCAGCTGCTTTCCTGGTCCCTCTACTGTCCGAAGGTGAGCCCTGAGCTGGGCCTCTGGGCCTCCCACCTGCACTTTAACACCAGATTGCAGACAGTGTCCACATCTCCTTCCTGCAGGTGGTCCCACATGGCCATTTGCTCGCTCTCTCCTGTCCTGGTTCCCGGTCTTGGCTTCTCAGCCTTGTGTTTGCTCCTATAATTAAAGCCCAGAAAGTCTCCTGTCCATCTGTTTGCCCCATCTCTCTCTCTTTAAACTGGGCTGCCTGCTGTGCTACTGTGCTCCAGTAAATGGGTGTTCCTGTGTAATGGCGGGAATGTCTGTTTGGTCAGGTACCCGCTCTGTGGCTTTGGGCAGATTACATGATTTCTTAAAGCCTCAGACTCCTCATCTATCAGTGGGAAAGGTGGTCCCTATATCAGGGGCTATTCTGGGGAAAGTTTGGCAATTTCTTGTAAGTGAGAGCACAGACCTACTTCCTGACTCAACAATCCCACTCCAAGTTGAGAAATAAAGACATACGCTCACACAGAAACTTGCACACCCACATTTACAACAGCTTTGCTGGTAACGGTCCACAACTAGATATAATCCAATGTCCTTCAGCTGGTGAACAGGTTAATTAACAGTGACCTCTCCACACCAAATACCCTGTGGCAACGGAAAGGGACATGTGATGACATGGGCAAGTTACACATGCATCCTGCTAAGTGAGAAAAGCCAGCCTCAAAAAGGCCATGTCCTATAGGAATTCATTTATATGACATTCTAGAAAGAGTGCAATTATAGGTGGAGAAAGCAGGTAAGTGCCTACCTGGCCCTGAGGTGGAGGAGGTGCTGACCACACAAAGGGAAAGGTTTTGAGGTGATTAAACCCTTCTATATCTTGAGTGTGATAGCAGGTACATGGCTACTCACGTAACTGAACGTGAGGGGTGAATTTCGCTGTATGTGCAAGCTAAACTGGTGTACTGATGTAGGATTATTTTACTTTTCCTGTGAATGAGATATCGCTGCGCTCTGGACACACTGGAAGTGACTTCTCATGAGTAATAGAAAAGGGCCAAGAACAGAACAGAACATGTTCCCATCTTAGGCCTTGGGCTCTGTCTGAAGATTCCCTGATAAGGACCCAGGATGGAAAGGTCTATTTAAATGAAAGTCAGAGTGGCCATGGCCAGGTTGCAGTTCGATCCTTGGTCAGGGTGCATTATGGGAGGCAACCAATTGATGTTTTTCTGTCACATAGATGTTCGTTCTCTCTCTCTCTCTCTCAAAATCAATAGAAACAATGTACCAAAAGGTCGCAGGTTCCATTTCCGTTAAGGCACATACCTAGGTTGCAGTTCGATCCTTAGTCAGGGTGCATTATGGGAGGCAACCAATTGATGTTTTTCTGTCACATAGATGTTTTCTCTCTCTCTCTCTCTCTCTCTCTCTCTCTCTCAAAATCAACAGAAACATATCCTCAGGTGAGGATTAAAAAGATAAAATAAATTCTAGCATCTTAGAGAAGGCTGGGCAGGAGGACCAGAAGGCGACAATTCCTGTCTAGAGCAGCAGGCTATCCAAACATGTGCCGGTCACCAAGCACAGGCGGTGGTTCTCTCACCCCTTCCCCCAACACCTGCCATGTCTCTTGTTGCCACTGGCCATGTGTGGCTCAGGGCACCTGGTCAGGAGGTTCTCACCAGTGGCAAACTTGGTTTGGACATAAGCAGCACCCACTCTAAGAGGCACTCTGATGAGCACATGGGTTCTGGTGGTTCACATTCTTCCTACCTGTCCCCCCAGGTAACCTGGAAAGACTCTGGTATAAAGAACACTTTTCTGTCCTATCCTTAACTGGCCACTGGGGATAAAATGAGTGCCCAGAGGGAACAGGCCATGGCCACCCTGCCAGCACCCTAAGAAGGCACTTTGTGTACCTGGCAAGCGAGCTGCTACGGTCAGGGGGTTGGACAGGGCCATGCCGATCTCCGTCATCCCATACCTCTCCAGCAGAGTGTGGCCTGTGATGTTCTTCCACTTCTCTAGTACAGGCAGGGGCAGAGCAGCTGATCCCGAAACCATCAACCTACCCGGCAAACCAAAGGCAGCCTTAGCTTCTGATGACAACAATCTTCAGTATAATAAAAAAAAGTCACTATTTTAAGATTCATGATAAAAACCATAGTTGGGGGCTAGAATTTAACTTTGTTCTTTGAAAAGAACTTGTTGGGTATATTTTAGAATGTAAATAGGTCCTCAAAAGGAATGAATAATCAAGGTAAAAGAAAAAAATAATTTTAGGGTCTTTGATGACACGCTGCAAATAATTAACATGCTGTTCACAAACAATCCAAAATAACAGTAATAATAAGATGATTATGATAGAATTTAGATTATGGGCAAACTGCTACCAAGTCTGAGGGGTAAGAGGGGTAGATGAGAGGAGACAGTCCACCGCTAAGGGACGTACAGAGGTCCTACACACTGGATTGTGCTAAAGGGCTCACGATGGTGACAATGACATTTATTTAACATCTGAGAGCTCCGAACTACTCTGGTGTATAGCATGTAATGTAAGCATTATGTGTGGAAAAGAAGAAGTTTTTGGTTCTAGTTCAAGCTAGAGAAGAAACAACTGCCCTGTTTCCTCACAAAGGTGTACAACTTACAAGGACCTCCCCCACCATGAGCCTAAATAGGGGAGGTCTCAGGACCTCTGTTACCCGGAAATCACCCTGGTTTCCCTTCTCTGGTATCATTTCTGCCATGGGTTCTACAGGGTTGAGTGCTCCTAATCCTGCTTTTGCATTGGTGGCTGAGCAATGGACACCTCCATCAATAGCTGCCGAACCGCACAATGGCTTGTGAGAGGGTGGGCCATTAGGTGACGGGTAGCAGGCAACATCAGACAAGAGCTGTAGTTCCACAAAAACGTCTTTATAGAAGAGCAAAGGAACGGTGGAGCAAAATCATAACCTTATCAAACATTTGTCTTGGATAATCCAGAATTCTCTTAGGGAAACAAAGCTGCCCTTCCTTTGTTCTTAAGGACTAGGAATCAGATGCAGAGAGCGGCCCAGAGGCCACAGAAACACACACACAAATACATTGGAATTTAAAATTCACGTTTGCCTAGTAGCTCACTCACTGTGGTGTTGAGAGGTCGTTCACACCACAGACGTAGCTTGTCGTGTCTGTCTGAAACATGTGTCTATTTGGTCTGTGAAAACCCACCAAACTGCCCATTCAGGTGCGCACTCTGAGTGGGTCCCTTTTCAGTGCAACAGGGAGAAGAGCCTCCCATGTCCACCAGCTCCTAAGAAAGTGCAGAGCACACTTCTTGCCACTGAAGGACCCAAAAGTGTTGGTGTACCTCTGCCAGGAGGGGTGTGATGGGGGCCCAGCAGGGAGCATTTCAAAGGGCCACAGACTGTTGGAGGGAAATAATACAGCAGGAGCTGGGGAGCATGCAAATGTGGGTCAGAAAGGATGAGAGCAAGATGATCAGTTCACTGTCCTAATCCTCGTCCTTCAAACTCTGCCACAAGACAGACAGACAGACAAAGATGGATAGAATACAGATAGATAGACATGTAGATAGACCTACAGAAGGATAGGATAGACATAGATATAGAATACACACAGATATATAGAGAATGTAGATTTAAATATGGAGATGTATATTTTAAACAAAGTGGAAAACACTGCTTCCTAAAACTCAGCAGAACTGATTTGTTAGAAATAAGTTTTATTTGCTGGTATATAATAATACTTTCTGGATGGGAAGATGAACTGTTTTCATTTACCTGATCTTTTCTTCACAAACGGCACGCACGAAATCCTGGACATGCGGTTGGGTAAAATGCTTGTCATAATAATCCATCAATTTGGTGTATATTGTAGGCACTGCCATAAACACGTTAATCCGTGGAGTTTCAGAACTTAAGAACTTTTCCCAAACCTAAAAAGGAAAAAGGACACATATAGCAAAAAGATTACAAAACATGCCACATGTATGAATGCCTGGAACAGTGTTCTTAGTGGAGGACTCTCCTTTTCTGAAGCGTTAAAGGATCTGTAAGTAGCTCCCACCTAAAAGGGCATCTCACTTTTATGGATGACAATGCCTCTGGCCGTCCCCATAGAAATGGCCCGGTGCCAGGGACACCTGTATCTGGTCTTCAGAGTGACGTGTAAGGAGGGAGAGGGTTGAGAGAGAAGTGCAGAGAGTGATAAGGTTCCAGCCTTGATCTGCCATCAGGAGATACGTGGCACCTGGCACCTCAGACTCTTCCAAGTGGCCACCAGTGAGCCTGAGAGTCAGCACAGGACCTGGCACAGATGAGCACGTGACAGATGTTGAACGGATGACATCTTCTGTTTATTGGAAAAGTCAAGTGAATTTTGTAGTTTACTCTGCAATAAATGTTTCTTGTTTTAATATAAAGATGCTTCAAGTTTCTCACCAGATGAAGTGCTTGTGTGTTACCCCTACTCTCTAAGAGAAGTTGGTGTGCCCTGCCAGGTGGCTCAGTACTGTCCCATACAACAAAAGGTGGCAGGTTCAATCCCCATTTAGGGCATATATACTTAATTTGCAAGTTCAATCCTTAGTTGGGGCGTGCACAATAAAAACATATCCTCGGGTGAGGATAAAAAGAAGAAAAAAAGAAAAGACGCAGGGTACGCTCACTCTGTGGTTCTCTCACCACAGCATCGCTGTGCAAGCCCATGGTCAGGATGGACAGCAGAGAGTTCCTGGTGCTGGGAGCCCAGCAGACTGACCGCAGGACAGAGCTCTCCCCTAAGGCATCTGAAACCTGGGATAAATGGAAACTAATGCTGCAGCCCACTCCCAACCCATCCCAGTTCCTGACTGGATGACAGTATTAGCTCCTCAACTTAGCTGCTAGACAGAGGAAAAGAACAGTCCGCTGGGGGGGAAAAATAAATTCTTTTAAAGACAATGACTGGCATCCCTCCAAATTATTAAAGCAGGTAAGGAAAGAGAAAAATGTGACCCATGATCAAGGGGAGGTGGGGGGCGGGGAGTCAATAGAAGCAGACTCTCAGAAGATCTAAATGTTAGAATTATCTGATAAGAAATTTTAAAATAATTACAATAAATAGGCTAATGAATTTAGAAGAAAAGATAAACAAGACGAGGAATAATCAAGGATTTCATCAGAGAAGTAGAACTGCAAAAAAGAACCATTATAATATTGGAAAATATATTATCTGAAATTAAGAGTGCATCGGATAGACTTAACAGACTAGATTCAGCAGAAGGGAAAAGAAGTGAAACATGAGTGAATGGAAATGATCTAAACGGAAATAAAGACAACAAAGAAAAGAAAAAAAATAGAGTGTGAGCAATGTGTGGGACAACATGAAACAGTTTAACACATACTGTAACTATAGTCCTAGAAGAGGAAAAGGGAGAAGAACTAACTAAATGGAGAGATACTCCATGTCTATGGATCAGAAGACTCAATATTGCTAAGATGGCAATTCTCCCAAAATTGAGTTACAGCTTCAACACATTTCTCCCCCAAACCCTAGCAGCTGTTTTGCAGAAATTGACAAGCTGACTCTACAATTTACATGGATATGCAAAGGTGCCAGAGGAGTTAAAACAAATGTGTAAAGGAAGAATAAAGGTGGGGGACTCCCACTTCCCACACCAAAACTTACTTTAAAGCAACAGTGATCAACGCAGTGTGATGCTGGAGTAAGGTTGGACACAAAGATCAATGGAACAGACAAGGGTTCAGAAATAAACCAATACATTGATGACCAATTGATTTTTGACAAAGAAGCCAAGTCACTTCAATGAGAAAAAGAAAAATTATAAATAGATGTCATCAAATTAAAAAACATGTATGTTTAAAAAACATCATTAAAAAGTAAAAAAACAAGCCATATTAGGAGAAAATATGTGCAAACCATACATTTGAGAAAGGACTTGGGTCCAGAATCTGTAAAGAACGCTTACGAATCAAAAGAAGTCAGAAAAGAAAAGTAAAATGGGCCAAATATTTGAATATACAGTTCACCAAAGACATATGGAGGCAAATAAGACCATGAAAAATGCTCAACATCATTAGTCATTAGGGAAATACAAAGTAAAACCACAATGAGATACTTTATATCCACTATAATAATAATTAAAAACAAACAAACAAGTGTTGGTGAGGATGTGGAGAAAATGTGCCGCTCATACACTGCTGGCACAAATGTAAACAATATAGCACTTCTGTATTGTTTGGCAGTTTCTTAAAACATTAAACATAACTTTACCACACAACGCAGCAATTCTGTCCCTGAAATGAAAACATGTCCACACAAGAATTTGTATGCACGTGTTCACAGCAGCAATATATTCTAAACAAACAAAAACTGGAAGCAACCCAACTGGCCATCAAATGGTAAATGGGTGAACAAAATGCGGGACAGCCATACATGTGATGCTATTCAGGAACGAAAGGAACAAACTACTGACACACATGACAGCATTTCCCATTCAGTAAACACCAGCGAGTTAACAGCTCTAGGTAGTAAGCATCACAAAATGAGAGACAACCAGACAAATCTGTCCCTGCTGGAGGGACACTAACACCACCTCTCAAGTCTTCCCACCAAAACAAAACCAAATAAACAAAACCAAACCCCCAAATCTTATCATGCCTCTAGATCAAATTACCAATTTTCAGAAAATACAGGGGGTGGGGACACATATTAAATGACACCACAGGGATGCAATACACAAAACCATACTGTGGGAAACCCTACAGGAGTTTGCTGATTTCTTAAGCAAACAAAAACTGCAAGGAAAAGATGAGGGGAAACCTGCATGTGAGGCAACAGAAGCAGCTTATACCAACCAAGCTCAAGGCAGAAATTATTCAGATCTAATTCAAACAAACTTAAGAAATGAGGGGCCCTAGCCAGTTTGGCTCAGTGGTCAGAGAGTTTGCCTGCAGATTGAAGGGTCCTGGGTTTGATTTCGGTCAAAGGCATGTACCTCAGTTGCAGGCTCCTGGCCCTAGTGGGGGCATGTGGGAGGCAACCAATTGTTGTGTCTCTCTCACACTGGTGTTTCCCTCTGTCTCTCCTTCTCCATTCTACTCTCTCTAAAAATTAGTGGGAAAAACATCTTTGGGTGAGGATTTAAAAGAAAAGAAAGAAATGAGGAGACATTGATAGTGATAGTACTGATGGTAATATGTGATATTAAGGGATTCTTGCTCATTACCTCATTGTGTCCTTAATGAGAAAAAATGCCCCTACCTTTTTTTCATTAAATAATTATTTTTATTTTTATAATCTCTCCACAAAGAAGTTATGAAAATACCCGTCAATACATTGAAAAGGCACTTTAAAATCCTGGGATGAAAAATTCTAAATATGTTACATCTTCTGTGATTTACAAATAATAAAATTCTATAAGATAGAATTTCTGAATGATTTTGATAGAAATTTACTAAGAAGAACTAGAACATTAAACTTTAAAAGACATTCAATTTCCACCCCAACTGAGTTTTTGAGAAGTTACATTTGTTGACAGTCACCACATACTGACTCTACAGCCCAATGGCCTGACATTGGTACATGGCTCAGTACCAATGTCAGGCTACTGGAATGCCCCTACCTTTCAGAGAGGCTAAAATAATCTGATATCTGGGATTCATTTACAAACAATCCTGAGTTAGGAAAAGATGTTTCTAGATGAACCTAGAATGACTCTGAATTAATCACTGTTAAAGCTGGGCAATGGGATATGGGTATTCATTTCTCTTGTAGATGTCTAAAACATTACACAATTTCACAAGTTTTAAGACTACAATGAAAGAGGGGTTAGATTTGGTTATCTCTCTAAGGGCCCCTAATACTCATCCTATCTAATAAAAGAGAAACATGGTAATTGGCGTACGACCGCTACCCTTCCCATTGGCTAATCAGCGAGATATGCAAATTAACTGCCAGCCAAGACGGCGGCCAGTAGCCAGGCAGCTTGAAACTAACATGAGGCTTGCTTGCTTCAGTGACGGAGGACTG